GTCATCTGGCAATGAATGCCCTTTGCAAATTAGTCAAAGAAGCTTCTAACATGGTGGAATTGGTTATGTAATATAAGAACATGTTACAACCCTAAGTCTTAACGTTGGGGTCCTACCATTGCTAGATTCAGAATGCAAGTCTTAATAACAGTTTATCCTGATTTTATGCTTGTGCAGAGGGACTCCCTTCCGCCACCTCCACCCCATGCCCCACTGCTGTGTGCTGAAGCTAATTATGTGTATATAAGTTATGGTCTGTCCTTTCCTGGACATAAGATACCTTGCATCTCCTCTTCACTTCTTATGCAAAGGAGGCTTAGGAGATGCTGTGGACTGAGTGCTTGTTTCCACTTCCCAGATTCATATGTTGAAGCCCTAACCCCCAAAATGATGGTATTTGGAGATGGGACCTTTGGGAGTTCATTAGGGTCAGATAAAAGTATAAGAGTGGGACCCCGATGATGGGATTAGTGTCCAAATAAGAGAAGGAAGAGACCAGAGCTTATTCGTACTATGACATGTAGATAGTGCACTGCAAGAAGAAGGTGGCCTCTGCCAGCCGGAAGACAGCCCTCACCAGAACCCAACCATGGTGGCACCTTTATCTCAGACTTCTAGCCTCCAGAGCTGTGAGAGATAAATGTCTGTTGGTTAAGCCCCCAAGTCTACGGTATTCTGTTGTATCAGGCTAGGGCAGACACAGGCATTCCTACACCCAGACATGTGGATGGTTTCTTGATATATCACCTGTGACTCTTTCTAGGGCCTTCTCTAGCCCTGGAAGCATGCTTGGCTTGGCCAGTGCAGGGCTCAGCAGAAGTATTGAAGGGTTAGTGCCTTTGGGACAGCCCTAAGCAGTGACAGGCAGGCATCAGTGGACGGAGCCCCCCACCCTACTGCTGACCCGGCAGTAGACAACTCTGAGACCTGCTTCCCTCTGTCTCCCAGCAAGCTTGAGGCCACTCTGCCAGCCCCTTCCCCTCCCTGCCTCATCTCTCCACCCTGCTCCCGATGCTTCCTGGGATCACCTCCCAAACAAACTGCTGTCATTCAAATCTTTCTCTCAGGGTCTGCTCTTGAGGGCCCCAGTCTAAGGCACGGGCATTTGAAACCTATGAGGGAAGACTCACTTCTTGCAGGGCAGGAGAAGAAGGCTTAGCTCAGTTTTTAGATGAAATCTCTCCTTGTGACTTTTTTTTCAAACGATAATGCATGTATAAAAGGGAAAATAAAATACATGTAGTGTTCTTTGTAAGTTGTGAATGAGTCCTTTGAAACCATTTTTCTAATTTCGTGATTTTCCTGATACGTGTTTCCTGAGAGGAGCTGTAATGAAAAAGTAGTCAGAGTGGTTGGATGTCAGGTGAAGTTTGTTAGGTGAGTATTTAACCTAGTCATTCTTTCCACATTGCTATTGGCCACCAAATAAGACTTTTTATTGTTCTTGAAGAACGGTGATTCAATACCCTTAGACTGACTGTCCTCTGCCTTCCCCACCCTTCCACCCACATTCAACTCAGTGAGGAGGCCCACAGTGCCGGCCGCTCCATTCACAGGCTCTGCCACTGGCTGTGCCAGACTGGAGGCTCTCATTGCCCCATGGAGAATTTTCACACACTTCCTCATGGCCAGTTGTGACTGCTGACGGGGGGCGCACTTTTGATAGAGGAGCTCCCAACTGGGCATGGATCAGAGAGCAGGCCCTGGAGAGCAGACCAAGATCAAGTCACTGGTAAGCTGCCGACTCCCTGAAAGGAGGGAAGAGAGGGTTGCTGAGCCTCCAAGGAAGGAGGACCCTGAAGAAGCTCCTGTGGTTTCTCCTTGGCTCACCCCTGCCCAGCCAGAACTTTGGGCAGCTTCTAGGTGGACTGCCCTGAGCCAGCACGGGGCCCTTTGGTCCTGCCCCATCCAGGGCTAAGCCTCCAGTGTGTCTTCCCCAGGGGCCCAGCTGGGGCCACCATGTGGGCTGGCGTAGAGACCCCTGAGAAGAAACCACCTCCACCAGAGAGCCAGGCCCAGTGGGATCTGTGTATCCATGTTGCTTCATTCAGCCAATTGATGTTCATGTTATGGAGAACTGAAAATCAGAATGCCTGGATTCAGAACCCGAGCCTGTCACTTACTGACGTGGTGCCCTTGGTGGAACAGGTGCGCTCCCTGGCCCTCGGTGGCCTCATGCGTGGGGTGGCAGTGAGGCAGGAGAACGGAGCTGGGCTGAGAGAACCCAGTGCAGATGCAGATGATGCTCATGGGGTGCCTTTCACTTCCTTCCTGTGCTTCCTCTGTCCCTTGTTATTGATCACGGAGGAAGCTTGTGAGGCAGGAAGTAAAGAGGTAACTGGATGCCACATACCTGTACCCCCTCTACCCCTCATTGATGATTGGGGACCTCAAGCGGTTTCCACGTGTGATTCTTTTGCTTGGCACTGCCCCAGGGCATATGACTGGCTTGTTTCCCATGGGTGATGGCTGTTGTGATTGATAAATTAACTCAGCATCCCATCTCTAGCTTCCAGCTCTGGGACTAGGAGAACAATAGGAGAGGTGACCTTTGAACCCTAGGACTGGCGAGTGCCAAAACGCCCTGTGGCAGCTACACTGAAAAATGCAAAGAAAAAAAAAAAGCCCATTGCTTCCCCTCCAGGAGTGTGGCAGCTGAATGTAGATCAGATCAAATCCTTTGGGAGGAGGTCACGGAAGGAAGAGGTCAGAGGGCAGAATGAAATTGCAGATCCATGCAGGAGGGGGGTGGCATGTGTGAGGGGTGTCCCCAGCCCTGGGTTTGCCGAGTGTGCAGCCCTATTCCCACTTTCCAGCCATGGAACCCAAGCATGTTGTCCCATCTGTCTTCCCCTTGGGTTCCTCACCTACAGAATTGGAATAATAACCTGTTTGTGAGGATGAAATGGGATCACAGGGGCAAAGTGCAAGGTACAGGGCTTGCCGGGAGCAGGTGCTCAATAAATGCTCACTGTTGTCATCCCTCTGCCCCTCACATTAATTTCCAGATCGTAGCTTCATTTTGGTCCCCAAGGGAAACTCCTCCAGGCTTCTCCCAGTTTATTTATTCATTGGTCAGAGGGGCGCCGTGCAGCCTGTTTAGAGCAACTTCCGCTTAGAAAAATCCTTGCATAATCATGACATTCCTGTGTTCTCTTGTCTCCTTTTTTATGTTTAAAGGACCATACAAAACTAGAGAGTGTGATTAGCTGGACATATAGGTGGATCTTGCTTTTTAAAAACAAAAAACAACTTTATTGAGATATTATTGACATATAAAAATTGTATATGCTTAAGGTATACAACTCCAGCTTTTGATATGCAGATGCATTGTGAAATGTTAACCGCATTTCAGTTCATTAATATATCCATTACCTCTACATAGTTACCATTTATGTGTGTGTGTGTGTTTGTGTGTGTGTGTGGTGACAAGATTTAGATCCACCCTCTTTGCAAGTTTCAAGTATATAATGTAGTATTTTCAACTCTCCGCCGCTTGCTGTACATTGGAAGGTGAGCCTTGCTTTATATACTAAATGTACCCTTTGGCCCAAACACCTCATGTGGCTCCAACCCAAGACCTGCACAGTGCCTTAAGCAATGCTGCCTTGGATGCAGAGAGCAGAGCCTTTTTGAGCAGTGACCGATGGCTTGTGTCTTGCACAAATCCTCTGGGCAAGCCAGGGGTCACCAGCAGAATTGGGCCTGGGTGTCTCAGAGGTCATCCACTCACTCCTTAGCACCACTGTCTTTGTCTCTTCTCCCCTTCCTGGCTGCACTGCCTCTCTCATGCACAGTGCATCCTGGAGAAACCTCCCAGATAAACCACATACCTCCACATCCTTGTCAGAGGGTCTGCTTTTAGGGGAATCCAAAATAAGACAAGAGGAAAACAATTATCATCTAGCACATCCTCCCCATCAAATGGTGGTGGTTTCTCTAAGAACTCACTAGAGAAAGACTTGGAGACCTCATCAAGCTCAGAGGAAAAGACAGCCAGTGATGTCTGCCCATGTGGGGCTGTGGGTGGGGGTAGTGTGTGCTGCTCCTACCACGCCTGATGGGCACATCCTCCAGCAAACGAGCCATGGATTCCTATCTGAGGGACCACAGGAGGCTTCATAAAGGAGAGGAGATGTGAGAACCTAGCCCAGAAGGTTGATAGAATTTTATCAGAGGAAGGGACAGGAGGCCCGGTTAGTGGTGGAGGACCTTCTTGGTCAGTTCACAGACTCCGGTTTTCATCTCATGGCAGAGAGGTTTTAGAACATTGAGAAGGCATGAACATCCCTGTGGTTGGCATTCCAGTCCAGCCACAAATGGAGGTCAACTTAGAAAGGGGAGCAGTGGGAGGGAGCAGGAAGGGGGTTGTTCTAATAGCACACGGGGCCCACACGCTAAGCCAGGTCAGGCAAAGTGGAAAAGGAGCAAAATGAAGACCCACTTAGAGCAGGGGCCTCAAATCTGTCTGAGCCACAGACCCCTTTGATGATCCAGTGAAGCCTACAGCCCCTGCTCAGAAAAGCAGTTTTCAATGAGTGTATGCAGCAAAGTACATAAGGTTACACATGGAGACTGACTGTGTGGAAATGAAGCTGTCAAAATATTCGAAAACAAATTTTCAACATAGTAGTTCACGTGCTTCCTCATTAACACTTTTAAGTCGCAGGTGGTGACCTAACAACCACCATAAGATTGAAGCAGTGGGTGAGAACTGCACAAGTATGATGGTATGACGTGTTATGAAAATATCTGTGGGGGCCGACTCCCAGGTTCTGCTAACACTACTGTGGTTGGTTGCCCACGTTCTTATCTGAAGGAAACACTCAATTCTGGTTGGTTTTGTGAACCTAAAGATGTAGGGGTTTTTTCTCATCCGAGTTCATGGACCCCATGTTAAAACCAAGACTCTAAAAAGGGACTGGTAATGCTGTCCCAGACCTACAGCACTGAAAATGTGGTCACCTGTGCTGAGACGATTTTCTTTCTCTGTTCTTTAGCCCTGCATGAATTCCCCAATGACATCTTCACCAACGAGGATAGAAGACAAGGCGCGGTGGTCCTCCATGTGCTCTGTGTAAGTACCCCTCTGTGCCTCTGCCCGGAGGGTCCATAGGCCAGGCCTAGGGGTGTGGGGTGAGGCACCTGAGGCCCTCAGTGGAGTCTCTCTGCCCTCCTGTTTACACGCCTGGTGGGGGTCCTCCGAGCCCTATAGGGGGCCATCACCAAATGGAGACGAAAGACTGCAGCTTTCGAAGGTGGAGCCATCTGTTATGCACTTTCCCTTCATGTTAGTGCCCAGAGTGTGGGCTCTAAAGTCAAACAACCCCACTCTCCATAACTTAACCCTACTCTCTGCTCAAACACCACCCTCTTGGGGGAGCCCTTTCCTAATCAGCCTTTCTGAAATGCCGCCGTATTTCCTCTTACCCTGCTTTGTTTTCCTCCATGCTACCTGCCATTGCATAGTTATTTGCTTTTCAACTTTTCACCCTCACTCACACGTAAGCCCCTGAGAACAGGGACTTGGTTTTGTACACGACTTCATTCCCAGACCCCTTCTTGGCACGTGGTAGGGACAGAACATTTGCCCACTGAGTGGATTCTATGTAATGTCAACTGGCATCATGTCTGACACATAGAAGGCGAACAAGAAAAGCTTGTTCTCTTCCCATCTGGCCTCTTACTGTCCACCACTGCCCTAGCATCTTCTGCCACAGAGCCAGTGGCTCTAAAGTCTGTGGTCCCCTTGTCCCCATTTGGAGGGTTTGGGGAAAGGCATGCATGTGACAATGTCTAAGGAGTGGACAGCTGTCCAACAAGAAATCTCTGAGCCACGTTCTGGACTAGGTGCGTTACTGCTCCCCCATCTCTGCGGCGTTCCCTCTCCCCCAGAATTTCCTCTCCCCTGAATTCCATTCTAGTTATTTACTGCTGTGGAGCGAACTCCCCACGTATAGCGGCATGCCCCGTCACTGTGTCGTTTTGCTTTGGGTTGTTTGTGGTGAGTGCTCAGAAGGAGCAGGGTGGGAATGCTGCTCCACGGAATCCAGGGCCTCAGATGGACCGACTCCCATAGCCGTGGCTGGGCCACTGGTCCTAAAGGATTTCTCTCTCCCATGCCTGGTATGTGGAGTGGGATGGCTGAGGGACTGGCTCAGCTGTGGCTATTGAGAAGAACACCTACAGTGACCTCTACAGTGTGGCAGCCTCAGGCAGTCCAGAGAGCTCAGAAAGGGAGGGTGACTGAACCTTGAAGTCCCACGGTGTGATTTCCACCATTACAGTCACAGCCCACTGTGATTCAACGGAGGGGTCAGAGACCTTGCTTTCAACCCACAGCTGGAGCAGGTCAGCAGGCACAGCCTGGGCTCTGGAGTCAGAGAAGACATGGGCTTGAAGCCCTCTTCTGCTGGCCTTGCTTTATGTGTCACTTCCGGGAGGACACTTGACCTCTTAAGACTCACAGGCCACCTCCATCTTGACTCCTTTTCTGGGTAAAATCAATCAACTCTTCAACTGGTCTCCCACTCCCCAAAAAGGGAGCATGAAAAGTCTCTTTTCTACAAGGACATTCTCTAAAAGTACCAAATGAGTAAGGAGAGCCTTTGCAACCGCCCAGCCCTCCCTGCCTTTCAGGGAAGTTGCGTGCACTGAGCCATTAATATGGATGTCACCTTTGGCACCAAGGAGGCTACCCTGTCACAAGGCTGAGGAGCCCCAGGACTGAGTTGGATCCGGAAATCTCTGGCAGACATTAGCATCCTGATGCTTTGACATCTGAGATATGAGATTTCCACTCTGGACCCAAACACTGCATGCTTTCGGCCTCCTGAAGAGATGTCGCCTGTAGCTGCATAGCTCTTTCTCCCCACCTCCCTCTCCCCTCTGGACTCACTGAGTCATCAACTGGAGGTGGAGGAGGTTCATTTTTCTTGCTCTTCATGAGCCCAGGATACCCAGGAAGGTTTCTGCTGTCTGTGGTAGTACATTTCCAGGCTGGCATAAAGGCAACTTGGGCACAAATACATACTATCCTCCTTAAACACTTCCCTAAGAGTGGGCATGAGCCTACAGGTTAGCACTTTGTAATCACTGGAATCCAGTGCCACTGTTAGCCCCTGTCCTGGGCTCTACACTTTAGAATCCACAGGGCAAGGAGTTCATGGACCAAGACCAGTGCCCACCCCTTCAAGATTATGTTCCAAGCACACAGAAGCCCAGAATTCTCCACCCAAATAGCCGTGAGCCTGCTGCCAAGGCCTGTGCACGTCTCCTCCCTGGCTTCACCTCTTGGAGGGAAGAGACCCAAGTGGGGCAAGCTTCAACACACAACATACATGACTGTAGTCCAGTGTGAGGCCAAGTGGGCAGAGCAGCAAGGCAGAGACAAATGTCAGGGTGGACCTGCTGGTGCCATCCCCAAGGCCCAAGACCAAATCTTGTTATCCTATCCACTAGAACATAAGCCCCTACCACCAGAATGTAAGCCCCAAGAAAGAAGCCCCTTCGTACTGTGTCCAGTCATTGAATGCCTGGAGTTGCACAGTCACTTTTTGTTCAGGGCAAGAGTAAATTATTCTTTCTATCCCCTTTACCTTCCATGTTGTGCGGCACATTTAGGATGCTCAGAAATTGTTAAACAAACATCACTGGATGTGAGGACTGCTGGAAGAGTAACATCTGGCATTTGACTGGCCAGCAGGAAACAAATGAATGCACGGGTCAAAGCTGCAAGAAGCGAAATACAGACTTCCTGCACTTGGCCATCTAGAAAGCATTTCTTGAGCCCCTGCAGAGTAGTGCTGGGCTGAGTCCTTCTAGATGCTCAGGACATGGCCTCGCTCTGAAGGAACCTGCTGTCTTGTGAAGAGAACCACTTATGATCGGCACCTGCCATGCACTAAATGCTAACGAGGGTCTATACAGCCTGCTGTGCTGTGGGAGCTTAGAGGAGGCACTTCAGTGTCAGCAAGGTCGGGTGGTGCTGTTCTTGAAGAGTGGGCAGGCAGATTCCAAAGGAGCATGGAGAAAAGGGACTCCACACAGGAATGGGAAACCTCATGGTCAGAGACACAGAGGTGAGAGTCAGGGAGTCTAGAGAGAGCACAAACCAAGGGTGTGGGTGGTGGAGAGTGAGCGAATGTAGCGTGGAGAGACCAGCGGGATCTCACATGGGAGGCACCACACGTGATTTAGCTGCTGCGTTGGAGTGGTGGGAGATTCTTGACCTCATCGTCCCTCCTTGCCTAGGGTTAGTGCTGCATTAGCTCAGGCTTCACCAGAAGTGACCCAGAGTCATCTGCCCTACAGTCAGTTGATAAAGACCCAGGCAGGACATAGAAAAAGGCTCAGGGCCGTTTGGGCAGGTGATCCCAGAGTCCCAGGGGCCCTGGGGAATATCCAGGAGGAAATGTGGAGGACAGAACATCCCCAGGAGACTGTTTCTAGGCTCCTGAAGAGCTGGGACTGCCTTATCCAGGCAGGGGAGTGATGGCCTTCTGCTGGAGGGTCCCCGCGGGGTATCCTGCCACCCCAGGCTTTCCCTGAGAGAAAGCCATAGGGCTGCCTTTTCCTGGGGTTCACTGCTCTTAGTCATGGATCCGGAGCAGAGGGCCTAGTCCTTGCTGCTCCAGTTTGATCTGAAATCTGATCACACTCAGCATTGGCACCTACACTCAACCTGCCCCTTTTCACTTGGGTCCCATGAGTTTGCTTTGCTCCTGAGGCTTGCAGCCTTCAGCCTCAGTTTGGGTAGAGCTCTGGGGACACAGATGGTTCTGACCCCTTGATACACTCTTTTAAACCTTGAATGACAAAGCTTGCATTCTTTTTTTTTTTTTTTTCTCGTAGATACTTCCCTGTTTTGTGTGTGTTTTGTAGAGTCGAACAGCTGAATCGTTCAACTTTCTGAATGTTCCCTTGGATCTTTCATGTTTTGTATATTTCAAAAATCCTGAGCCTGAGAGTGCACTTTTTAAAAAGGTTTCTGTTCCTTCTGGCTGTTTGTCATGTAGTGGGGAAATTCATGATCTTGACAACTTTTTCAACAAAAGATAACCCCAAGAAAACACTTGTCTTAGAACTCGCTTTATATCTGATCTCTTATAACATTGAAACACTAAAAGCAGGATTTCCTGTCTGTGAGGAAATTTGTGTCCTATAGATTCATCGAGCCTGCCCCAAGTAAAGGAAGAAGGCTGTGAATGATTTTCTAGAATTGTAGTTTGTTTGTGATTTATCAAGATCTTGTGAAATTTTGCTCATTATCCCCATGACACAAATAGCTGAATCTTGGAGATGATAAGCCAAGCTACACATTTCCCTTCCAGTAAGAAGTTTTAAATAATCAATATTTGGAATTCTTTCTTGAAGTTGCTGTGGGTGGCTGTCTATCTTTTAAGAGATCAAACTCCACAGCAGGAATAAATACTCTCTGCATGCCCTGCCAGCTTTCAGAAGTCTTCTTCCTAAGCTTTGAGCCTTGCTTTCCGATTTTTAATGTCATTCCTCTCTTCTGGCAGGCAGATATTTCTACATGCCTGTGTGTATGAGAGTAGAAGGTGTCACACATTTGAAAATGATTCTGTATCCCATACCAAGGCAAGCTCTTGTTAAGTGAGTCTGTTTGGTAGGAGGGCTGCTAATTAGTACAGCAACCCAGACCTGTCATAGATGTGCTGGGGAAAGACATATCAAGGAGAATATTTTTGATGTGCATCTTCAGTTTCTAAATCCTAGGCATGCCCCGAGATGTCCCATAGGAAACTTGGGAATTCAGGCAGAAGGGACGTTTCCCTCCACTGAGCTGTTGGGGTTGCTGCCATCTGGACCTCCTCAGGCTGCTCAGAGCAGCAAAAGGGATGTTCTGGCCACGTGGGAGGTCCCTGGTCATCTGCCTTAGGCCCCTTCTGTTTAGTGGTAGGGACTCCCTTGTGCACATCTCCATCTTCACACTCCTGTGTCCAGTGCCCATTAGGGGCTCGTGTGTATTAAAGGAGATAGGCTCTATACAGCGCGGGTCATTCCGGAATCCAAGAATCCAAGCAGGATTCTTGTGCTGAGCTGAGCCCTCAA